ACCGTCATATCCCCCCCCCCAAAAAAAAATAATTGCTGCACAGTTCTAGTTCTAGAGTGTTTGGGTTTCCATAGAAGAAAAGGGTGCTACCCTTCCTGTCCCTCCCCGGAGCAGGTCTCCTTCATGGACGTGCACGCCCTATGGATGTGTGAATATCAGTTGCATTAAAGTGACATGAAACCCTCAGATTTTGTAACATAAAACAATACTGTAATGTGCGCCTTACTGTAATCCATGGTTGTTTCCCTTCTCTTTGCTGATCTTCCTTTTAAATCCGTATCTGTTCTCATGCTAGGCAGAACTTCTGTTTTGCAGCAGACTGCCTTGTCTCTGGAATGGATACACGGTGTCTGTGTATAGATTTGTATAGGCTTGAAACCTGAGCCAGCACTACAGGAAGAGGCCCTGAGCTGAAAAGGGAAGTTCTGCAGAGCATGAGAAGACATGGGGATTTAAAAGGAAGAGCAGCAAAGAGAAGGGAAACAACCATGGATTACAGTAAGGCACACATTACAGTATTGGTTTATGTTAAAAAATCTGAGGGTTTAATGTCACTTTAAGAGAGCAGTCTTGTAACCAGTCCCCTCTATGACAACTCTGATTGTTCTGCAGTGAAATCCCTGCCGCGTTGTCACCCTGTGGACAGTGTAGTGTTAGACGGACAAGTATCTTTAAATGGACACACATATTAAATCCCAGCTAACACTTTTTAAGCAGTTACAGCAAGTACATTTGTTTTCTTTTGGAAAAAAGCTGTAAGGCTCCATTTACATATAACGCTGGCTTTCCGTGCGGAAGACGGCGCGGGACGAAAAAGCAAACATTTTTCATGTGCACGGATTCCGCTTGTTTGCGTTTATTATATAACCGTGAACATGCAGAATCCGCCATATTATCTCGCTTGTACTATTTTGTGTACAAAAGTCTGATCAATGCACATTAAAGTGCATTGCTTTTTCTGTTTTGAGCGGCTCCGCGCATATTCGGCCGGCCGAAAAATTGCGGACAACCGCTCCTGTGTGAATGGAGCCTTAGCCATATCAATAAAAGCTGGCTGTCGTAATCACCCCCTCCTGGCAGAATCAACAGATTATAAATCTTCGTTACGTTGATTTGTCATTGGACCTTTGTACAAGGAGCTGGGTGGGCAATAGTTGGTCAAACAGTGACTGTAGTCAGGGCCGGATTTCCCACAAGGCCAACCAAGTCCCGGCCTTGGGGCAGCAGGAAGCAGAGGGACAGCAGGGGTGTGGAATTCCTATCTCCCGATGCCCGGGACATGCAGTTCCGGATCCCGGGCGGGTAGTTGTTTTCTACATTTAGCCCTGCTTTGGGCAAGCAGAGCTAAATGTACAGCGGGGAAGCCGCCACTTGTTTTGTACAAGTCGCCTAGATCACTTGTATGCAGCCTGCAGGTCTGCCATTCTCCATGGGGGGGGGGGGGGTTATGGAGCAGCAGAGAGAGTAAATCCGGCCCTGACTGACTAACCAGCTGCATTTACTGTTTGGGCATTTCAACAGCTGCAGGTGCTGGCTGCCAGAATACAGCAGCCGGCAGGGACGATTCCTCCATTCATGCTCTTTAACATGGATTGAGGAATCAAGTGATGAAACGTATTCAGCTCTTGTGTATGGCCTGTTTAAGAATAGGGTAGGGGCCCATGCAAAGCAATCTCCCAAAACCTTTACTATTCTGTCAGCAACATATTCTGTAAGAACGTGTACAGCAGCGATGGGCAAACTCCGGCCATCCAGATGGGGTGGAACTACAAATCCCGTCATGCATCTGTCTCTGGGAGTTGTGGCTGTGAGAATCTTGCAATGCCTCATGGGATTTGTAGTTCCACCACAGCTGGAGGACCGGAGTTTTCCCACCCCTGGTGTACAGAGTGATGCGCACAATGCATTAACCTTCTGAGAGAAATCACACGTCAGGGTACCTGAGTCAGATCAAGGAGAGGCGCCTCGTGATTGGACGTGATTTTATTGCCTTTCATTCCGTTCTTATATTTTTGTAATTTCTTGCAATCTATTTTACAAATATTTTTGCCAAGTTTAGTTACTGCCGAGTTTTAGGATTAAATGTATCAAGTTGTTTATTCACAATAAATACAAATGTTGCAAATTTGACAATCTGCGTGTCACTAAAGAGAATTTCTGGCTCCTTTTTTCTATGTTCCCTCGTCACCCCGGGAATCAGGTGTTCTATCAAAGTCTATGACTGCGTTAGAATGTGTGACCGGTGACGTGGTCACACATTTTAACCTAATCTGACCGGTCACACATTTTAACCTAATCACACCCACTTTTTCTGGAAAAGGTTTTGGCTTTAACTCCTACTTAGAATATTCAGATGCCACTGGTAAATGACGCAGAGAACCATAAGAAGTTCGGTGTGATTCCTAGGGATGCACCGATATCGTTTTTTCCGGTATCGAGTACCGATATTTTTTCCGGTACTCGCCGATACCGAGTAACGATACCGGAAGTCACATTAAGGAAGCTGGGCAGCGTGTAATGACTCGCCGCCTAGTGTTCTAGCAAAGATTGTGACTGGGTTGGAATGTGTGACCGGTCACGTGGTCACACATTTTAACGTAATCATGCCCACTTTTTCTGCGGTAAAATATGTGATCGGCAAAAGGTGAAGAATTCCAGCTGTTTCAGGGCTGATCGGCATCGCAGAACGTACAGTATGTGCAGGAGAACCAATCTGCCCTGGAACAGCTGATCGGTCCTGAAATGTCACTTCTATCTGACTCTGTGACTGGGATCTCACACTCCACAAGTCAGATAGAAGTGACATTTAAGGACCGATCAGCTGTTCCAGGGCAGATCGGTTCTCCTGCACATGTGATTTGCGATGCCGATCTGCCCTGGAACAGCTGAGAAATCGTTGGAAATCTCCACCTTTTGCCGGTCACATATTTTACCGCAGAAAAAGATGGGCGTGATTACGTTAAAATGTGTGACCACGTGACCGGTCA